GCCAAACTGATGGATGCAATTCTCAATTGAGATTCCTTCCCCACATATGTCCAGGTTTGTGTAAGCTGACAAAAACTAACCTTGATAGCTAGCGTACATGGGGTCCCATGTTCAAACCTTGTACTGCTAAGCAGAAACATTTAAAGAAGGAGGTCATGATGCTATGAACATTCAATCATGCACAGGTTTTTGTGTGAACTTGTTTCTCACTCTCTTGTTAGTCTATACCCACTAACGGAATTGCTGACTCATAAGGTATATGAGTCACTTTTTCTATTGCCAAGATCAAACACTTATCAAAAGCAACTTAAGGGAGGAAGGTGGCCAGTCACTCAGCGTTGTCAGGAGGCAGAAGCAGGTGGGTGCTGTGCCCTTTTATTAAGTCCAGGACCCCGGCCCATGGGGTGGTGCCACCCACATTCAGGGAAGGTCTCTCTACCTGTATTAATTACTTTTCCATTGCTGGGATAAAATACCATAACCAAGGCAACTTACAGACAAAAGGATAAATTGGGCTTATGGTTCCAAAGGGTTGGGGTCCATAAAGGCAGAGACAGTGTGGCAGTAGGCAGCAGACATGGCAATGGGAAGTAGAAGCTGAGAACCAAAGACTCACATCATGAACTGCAATCAGGAAGTGGGGGAGAAGTACTGGAAATGGTTAAACCTCAAAGCCTGCCCCCGAACCCTGACATACTTCCTTTAGCAAGGCCACACCTCTTAGTCCTCCTCAAATAGCACCACCTACTGGAGACCAAGTATTCCAACACCTAAGCCTATGGGTGACATTCTCATTTAAACCACCACACTACTCAGTTAATCCCATCTAAAGTCCCTCTCAAGAACATGCTCAGAGAGTTTTCTCTTAAGGGAATTTTAGATCTTATCAGGTTCCATTACAAGTCCACCCCTTGACAAAATGACACCAAGACATCGCTTTTAAGCCACAACCTTCCATCTTCATCCATATAATCACAAAGCCATTTTACAAGGTAAATTCAATTCATCAATACATGTCCCCATAGTCTGTAAGAGTCCCAAAATTTTTCAAAAGTCCAAAGTCTGTTCTCTAAACTGTGAGCGCCTATACAATCAACAGGTTACAAGCTTCCAGTATACATGGCACAGAACAAATATTCCACTTCAAAAGGAGGAATGGAGACATAGCAGGGAATAATCAGACCAAAGCAAGACTGAAGCTCGGCATGGCAGACACCAAGGGTTCATGAGGCTCCAGATAGCTTGGGTTGCCTCCCCTCTCCCCCCCAGTGCTGCCTGTAGCACTCACTGCCTCTTGACCCAGCCCCTCCTCATGTCTGTGTAATCTTCCTGATATGAACAAAGTTATTCTAAAGAGACTGACACTTTCTCCTCTCTTTGGCTATCGAACTATAAATAATGGCTCCCCAAGAAACTGGAATTTCCCATGAACCTCATGCCTGAGAAGGAAGGCTGGTGCTAGCCAGAGGAGGAATGTGTTTCTGGGAAAGAGATTTCACACATTTCTGACAACTTGTTAGACCGCCTTGCAGGGGAGATGAGGCGAGGATTTGTTAGTGATAGATGGGACATCTTGAGCAGGACCTCACTTCTCTACTTCAATCTAAACCTCACATCAGGACCACAAACATTGACTTGACTGTCCCTGGAATTCTTTGTTCTTCTTCCTAATGTGGCCACACCTGATGTGGGATGCCCCTCTGCATGCTGTGAATGTGTTTTTATTGCCATTGGTTAATAAAGAAGCTTATTTGGCCAGTAGCCAGGCAGAATAGAGCCAGGTGGGAAATCCAAGCAAAGATAAAGGGAAAAGGAAGATGGAGTCAGGGAGATACCAGCTGCTGCCAGAGAAGCAAGCAAGATGTAAGAGCTAGTTAATAATAAGCCTGAGCTAATAGGCCAAACAGTTTCTAATTAATATTAAGCCACAGAGTGGTTATTCAGAAACTGGTAGGCAGGAAAGAAACCTCCAGTTACACACACTGAATCATTCACCCTTTCCTGCATTTCATTACGACTCTGCCCATTGAGGATGAGTGGCCAAGCCTGGGTTGTTAGGGCTGTTACGGCTCAGGCTCTCATTAGCCACGACCAGGAGAAAAGACATTTTGGGTACTATCACATGTAACTCGTCACTGGTGTGTGGGTTCATGCGGGTTTGAGAAATGAAGAATCAGAGACACCTAAGAATAAACTTCACCTTTGCGGCTGCAGGCGCTCAGTCTGAACTGAAGCACTGCCCCTTCACTTCAAGGCAGCTTTATTTTTCCTGCATTTACACTTGAGCTAGTAGATTTCCAGACCTTCAAACAAACTGATGGAAGCTTCCAACAGTACAATGCCAGGTACAAATACCTGATTCATGAGGTCCCACGGTTTTCATGGGAAACTAACTCACTTAGGGCAGAAGGGTATTTGTAACACAAAGGAAGGCCTAGGAGCTGTGTATGACCCTGCGAGGTTTCATGGCTACTGGAGGTTTTGCTTGCTGTCCCTCTGGTGCCAGGTCAGGGGGCCATTATACCACAGGGTACCAGCCTCTTGATCCCAGACAGAGAAGAAACATGAACTCGTCCCACACAGTTTCTGAAACCATCACATTTCAGGAATTTTCCGTATCTTCCCACTACATTCACTATCAGTTTCTCTTCCCTCTATTTAGTAAAGCGCAGACATAGGCGGTCGGATTTTCTTTGGGATTCTTGAGTAACTTTGAGCTTTGGTGAGCCTCTCCCTGGTAGTGTGTCTTCTGTAGTTTTGGGTCTCCTTTGAGCTGTTTTGGTTTTGTGCCATTTCAGCAATGCTTTGGTGACTGGCTTTGCCTTCAGCAGTTCTCTATTGCTGAGGTTTTGCTGAGGTATTTGGACTACTATGCTCTGTGTATGATAGTCCTTGTTATTTTAACAGCTTTTTTGAGCAAATTAGGAGTTCTCTTGAACTATCTGGGCACTTATCATGTTACAGGGAAGGTTGAAGTGTGTTGGTCTTTTGGGGCTCTACTCTGTTGAACTATTTGAGACATGGAATAAGGGTCTTGCCATCTCTATTGTGATTTGTGCAGCTATGGAAACAATGAATCTGTACCATCTTGATGCTCCCTAGGGAGGAGAATTCTAGTTGATTTACTTTTCGTAAACTTAGGATAGTTAATTAATTTGCAAGGAGCAAAAATTAATTTGCTCCTAGAACTTCTGAAAACAGTTGAGCTGAAAACCTCTTGTAACTTCAGTTTTAAGTTTTTAAAAAGAATTTTTATTTGTGTGTGTGTCATGGGGGTATGGGTGCCCATGGAGTTCAGAAGACAGCACTGGATCCCCTGGAACTGAAGACAGAGGTGTTGTGGTGCCCTGTATGGATGTGGGCACAGAACTTGGGTCCTCTGAAAGAGCAGCAAGTACTGTTAATCAATAAGCCACCTCTCCAGCCTCTTGGATATTTTTAAACTCACTGAATTCTAAAATACTATTTTTGGCATACTTAATTTGAAATGTGTGTTCATGAATGTAAAAGTTTCAGAATGATTTGAGTGAAATCATTAACACATATGGTGAAAAGTCTTGTGTGGGCAAACTTTTCTGTCTCACCAGCCGCTCTCCAAATAACCACATAGAGACTTATTATTAATTATAAATTCTTGGCTGCTAGCTTAGACTTATTACTAACTAGCTCTTACATCTTAAATTAACCCGTATTTCTTATCTACCCTCTGCCACATGGTGGCACCTTCTTTCAGCACGACATGCTCACCTTCCTTCTCTCCATGTCTCCACGGGACCCCTGAAATTCTTCCCTCTCTTTTTCCCAGCATCCCTCTTGTGATGCTCAAAGTCTGGAACCCCAAAATACCACCAAGAGACAGAATCCATAGGATCCCTGATTGGTCTCTCTCAGTAGGGTATGGTGTTACCCATTTCTGATTGGCCCCTCCAAGTGGGGTGAAGGGTTCATGGTTCCAGTGGCTAGGGCTAAGGTCAAGGGAAGGTCAGGGGCTGCCACGTCGCTGACTGGGTGGGGCTGCTCAGGTCTTTGTGCTGTGGCTGCAGTTCTGCTGAAGCCTGGGTCTCTCACTCTCTGCCTAACCTTATCCTGCCTAGCTGTAGTCCAGTCAGCTTCTTTATTAAACCAGTCACAGTGACACATGTTCACACAGTGTAAAGGAATATTCCACAGTCTTGGGTTTGGGATCTAAGGGGACACTGAGACAGGGGTTCAAGGGGACCCTGAGACAGACCGTCTTTTGAGTAAGAAGTTTGTGAGAAGGCCTGTGAACAACAGGGCAAGGGTTCTGAGGAGAATTCAGGCCCCAGTGCCAGACAGGTAGCATGGAGTGGGTGAGGTGGGGCACTCTGAGGAGTACTCAGGCCCAGGTGGAAGGAATGGAGGCTTCTTTTAGTTTTCTCAGGAAGGGAGGAGGTTCCATGTCATGTGGTTGGTGAGTCATCCATGGCATGTTCCTGCAAACAGGCTGTCTCTGCTTTCTGGACAGCCAGAGGGTAGAGAGGGAGTTTGCATTTGAGAAAGGAATGGAAGACTTTGAAGGTGTGGAGAAAATAGGAAGGAGGAGGCTTGGTTAGTTAATGTGTGACCACCATACGGGTGTCACAGGCAGCCGCTGACAGCTCAGAGTCCGTCAGCCTGTGGTGAGGGTGCAGAGTCAGCTGTGGGAGCTGGGAGACACCACTGTAAACAGGCATGGCCTGAGTAGGGTCTACTCTGAGTACTAACACAGAAGAACTGCACTTCTGTCTCTTTCTTCTCACTCTTCCTTTGCAAAATAATAATAATAATAATAATACATGAAAATTTATAGTGAACTGTAAAATTTGGGACTAAGAGAAAAGAACCCACACCAAACCTGGTTAGCTGAAGTCGCTGACTCCGTCAGTGTTGTCTGTTGGGAAAGAGTAAGCGACACATGAACAAACCAAAGTAACTCGGCAAGGCAGTTTTCTTAGTTCTGCAAAAGGGGCACAGTAACCCAAAGCAGGCGAGCAAGCACACCAGGGTGAGAGCGGGTGGCAACTGTGTCTCTTTCACTGGTGGGGAAGAGTGTGACAGTCTGACACCCTCAAATGTTAGTTCTGGAAACTGAGGCTGAGAAAATCGCTACAGAGTGTACAAGATGCATAACTGACATCTTATTTAAACAGTGTTTTTTTTTTGGAGCTCAAGGACAATTTTATTAATAGTTTAAAAGGAAAAACTCCAGAGCAAGCGAAGTGCAAATCTTGGTCAGAGCCTAGAGGAGGGAGATAGGGAAGGAAGGAACACGTCGTGCGGTCTGAGGTAAGCTGGCGTGGAAGTCGGCTGCACAGCAGACATGCAGACAGCCATGTGGCAGACAAGAGGCTAAATGACCACATGGCAGGGAGCGGGCTGTAGAGGAAGAGGAAGGAGCCCACGTGCCAGCAAAAGCTACGGAGGCTCTGTCAGCAACTGAAAGAAAGAGACAGGAAAAAGGAAACACCGCAGAATGGTAGTCAGACCTGTCAGTGCCTGGTGCGGCTGGAGGAACGTTGTCGTTCACACTCAGAGATGACCGGATCATCCAAAAAAGTCCTGAGGTCTTCTGAAACACTTCCTGCCAGGTAAGCTTAAGATGAACATTTAAAAGACAATTGACCTGTATGTCCAGATACTTTTGAATGATTTCTGGGCCTTGTCCATATGAAATATTTATATGTTTTGTCAATATTCAATGGACTCATTTTGCTACTGGGATAATTAATCATGATTTTTGGCCTTTTTTGGGGAAATAGTATTATGAGACTGTACATTTTAACATCAAATTTTTTGTTTATGTACAGTTTATTTTATTTTTTAGACTCTATGTGAGATTTATTACTGAAGAGGGGAAAGGAGAGCACCATGGAAGTCCTCATAATGTGGAGCTTGCCTCTTGTCCTGGAGACCACAACTGGGGATCTATTTGAGCCTACCGCTATCAGGAATAAGCCGTTTCTCAGTGGCCATGTCTCCAAAGTCACCCATCTAAAGCCTAGTGAAGTCCCACTTCTCTGAGATGGGGATCATCTGGCAGCCAGGGAACTGGAACTTGGCTTACGCAGAGCCTCAACCACACATCCTTACTCTACGCCCTGATGTAGATGGACAGGATGACCTGGCCAGTGTGAACCGTGGCCAGTGTGAACCGTAGCCACTGTGCCCTGTGGCTTCCCAAAGGCCCCATGCATACCTGTCTGGAGCCTACACTGGGGACAACATTGAGATCAGAGACTTGAATAATTGCCAGAAAATTGTCTCCAAGATCCCTTTGGGCAACCCATATAGTCAACAGGCTGCATACACTACCAAGGAGGTTGCTATTGGCAACCACTGAGTACCAGGCTCCTGTGGGAAAAGTATATATACAAGTTTCTGTATTTTCCTAAGATAATTGCTTATGCTTCTTGCTATTTTTCAAGACTTTGACTACTTGGAAAATGAGGTCAGGGTTTGTTTATGTGTTTGTGTGTGTTAAAGGTTTTTAAATGGCCACTTTAGGACTGGGGAGATGGCTCAGTGTTAAGAGCACTTACTGCTCCTGCTCTCCATTTAACCTAAACCTCAAAAAAAAAATTAAAAAGAGGGCTGGCAAGATTGCTCAGTGGGTAAAGGTGCTTGCCACCAAGCCTGACAATTTGAGATGGATACTGGAGACCCACGGGAAGAAAACCAGTTCCTGCAAGATGTCCTCTGACCTCCACATGCATTCTGCAGCATTCTTGCATGTATGCTCTGTGTGTGTGTGTGTGTGTGTGTGTGTGTGTGTGTGTGAGAGAGAGAGAGAGAGAGAGAGAGAGAGAGAGAGATATAAACAAATACAACTTAAGAAGCAACAAGCCGACACCTCCTGTCAGGACTGTGAAGACAGACTTGAGGAGTCACCAAACCTCTTTGATCTTCCAGTGGCCCCGTTGACTAAACCTGATATTCTTCTTTTTAATACAACTTACCTGTTTAATTGTCCCGCTGAACAGGCGGCCAATCCAGATAGTTAAGGTTAGCAGAACTCAGGCTCTGACCCTCAAAACTCCGGTAACATCATAGCTCTCGTCAGCAGGTGTCTTCTAGCGCGGGCACACTCAACATCCTGTGCTTTCAGGCAGCGTAGGCTCTGCCTTTATAATTTCACCTGATGTCCTCTCAGAGCCTGTGAGCTGGGACTCTAACTCTGAAACAGAGTACCTGTCCTTAGTGGCACTCTAGAACCTTGGTGCAAGCCTCTACAATCCCTTTATTCTGGCAGGTGCCATGGCTGCCAGGCAGTACTGTGCCAAGTTCTGCTGCCAGCTCAAGGTGTAGCCTGGCCTGGTTGGACCACTGTGTCCACCTGCTTCTGTGTAGCCCCGGGGGAACAGTTCCCTTTGGGGTCGTTCTGGGACAGGGAACTTCTGCTGCATAGTTTAGGTTTCACTACTCAAGATGAGTTTTCACAAGGGGGAGCCTTCAATGAGTGGCACCTTTTCCACTGTGCTCCATTGTACAAGGGTCCTCTCTCCCTCCCTCTCCCCCAGCCGCTTACTGGGTAAGGGCAATAAGTAGTAACCATGACATGATCTGAATGCTATCCTGTTTTGAAATTTCTATTACTTTTGAATTCTGCTTCACTCACACTCTCAAATCATAGGAGATTAGAGACGGATTCTTCAACACAATGCAACATCCATGGACTTCAGCTGAGTTTCTGACAAAGTCCCTGTCCCCCTCTGAGAGCTCACAAGTGGGACCTCCATTGTCTGGATTGATTTTGGCACTCTGGTCTCCTAAACACCCACCAGGATGGCACACTAAAGTCTGTTTCCAATATTCTAGAGGTTTCTAGTTTGAAGCTTCAAATGCTTCCATGTTTTTCTGGCAAATTTGTTCCAAAGGCTAAGAACCAGGCAGTCGGGTTTATCACAGTGATGGTCCACCACCCCCTGCCTGACCCTGAGACAGGGCTTCTCTGTATAACAGCTCTAGCTGTCCTGGAACTAGCTCCTGTAGACCAGGCTGGCCTCAAACTCACAGAGATCCACCTGCCTCTGCTTCCTGAGTGCTGGGATCAAAGGTGTGCGCCACTACCGCCTGGTGTTATTTGTCTTTTATATTACTGAATAATAAGGAGGTTTTTTCTCCTTAATGTATTCCAGGTACTAAATCCTTATTGGGTATTCGACTTAGACGTGCCTTCTGGACTGGTGAGATGGCTCAGCACAAACCTAAAAAGCAGATGTCAGTCACTGGCCCATGTGAAAATGTGTGATTTATGTGCACATCTGTAACCCCAGCACTCCTGTGGGTGGGACAGCAGGATGGACGGAAGAATTGCCTGGAGACTCACGGCCAGCTGCCGGGAGCACACAGAGTAACAGAAACGAAAGATACGACTGTGACGAGGAGGAAAGAGGGAACCAACTCTCAAAAGTTATTCTCTGGGGGCTGGAGGGTTGGATGGCTCAGCAGTCAAGAGTGCCGGCTGCTCTTGCAGAGGGTCTCGGTTCAGTTCTCAGCACCTGCAAGAGGTGGCTCACAATCACCTGTGACTCCAGGGATCCGATGCCCTTTTACAGTCCCCGTGGGGACTGCATGCTTGTGAGGCACAGACAATAAGTAGACTCACACTGATACGCACAAATAAAAATACATTTTAAAGCCAGGAGGTGGTGGCACATGCCTGTAATCCCAGCACTCAAAAGGCAGAGACAGGCAGATCTCCCTGAGTTTGAGGACACCCTGGTCTACAGAGTGAGTTCTGGGATAGCCAGGGCTGCACAGAAAAACCCTGTCTCAGAGGGAAAGAAAATTAAAAATGTAAAAGTTGTTCTCTGACCTTCGCATGCAAGTTTTGGCATGTAAATGCACAGGGGCAGGTGTGTGGGCTTATATGCACCCACACACCTTCCCCACACTAATAATAATGATAATAATAATAAAACATAGGCCTGGAGAGATGGCGCAGCAGTTAAGAGCACTGGCTGCTCTTCCAGAGGGCCTGGGTTCAATTTCCAACACCTACATGGTAGCTTACAACTGTTTGTAACTCCAGTTCCAGGGGATCCTACACCTTCACATAGACATACATGAAGGGAAAATACACATTAAATAAAAACAAATTTATTTAAAAAAACACCCCAAAATAGTATTTCTTACCTTTCAGTTCTCTGTCATCTTCCCCTCCTCTTTGTTTGTTATCTTTTGATGTGTGAACGCTTTCAGTCTTGAATGTCTATTTTTTTCTTTTGTTCCTTACGCTTTTGATGATGCGCTTGAAACTGCCACCTAAGAAACTGCCACCTAAGCCAAGGCCGCAGAGGTTGTCACCTGCCTCCTTCTAACGCTTTTGTAGTTTTAACTCTTGTATTTCGTTCTTGGATCAATATGAGTTAATTTCCTTTTTCCTAAATGCTGGGGTTGAACCTGTGGCTTCAGACAGGCTAGGCAAGTGCGCTCTTCTGTGTTACACCCGCTAGTGGAGTTTTTAAGTTTTTAAAAATAGAATCTCAGGTAGAAGTCAATATTCATTCCATTGCTGGTGGATATGCAGCTGTCTCAGCACCTCAAGTCAGAAAGAAACTATTATTTTCTCACAGGATAGTCTTGGTGCCCTCATAGAAATCAGTTGATATGGCTCGATTTCTGGGCTCTCCGTTTTATTCCGTTCATCTATGTCCATCTTTATGTCAGTCCTAAGTTTTGGGTGCTGTAGTTTAATAGAAGTTGGGGTTGGTAGTGTGTGCCTATATAATCCCAGCCATTAGGAGGCTGAGGCAGGAGGATTACTGTAAACCAAAGTTCTGCCTGGGCTATGGCGAGACCGTTCTCAAAAGAAAAAGGAAATTAGAAAGTATGAATCATCTGCCTTTGTTCTTTTCTGAAATCATATTTTTTAACGTTAATTTGTTGATTCACTTTGGGTGTGAGTGTATCGTGGCACGCGCGTGCAGGTCAGAGGACAGCTTGGAGAAGTTGACGTTCTCCTTCCGCCATCGTGGGTCCCAGGGATCACACTCAGGTTGTCAGACTGGTGGCACATGTCTGTATTTGCTGAGCCACCTTTGTGGCCTCTCCAAAATAATTCCATGCCTTTGGAATTGCCGTATGAGTTTTAGGATTAGTTTAACTTATGCGTAAAGGGACAACTGGAATGTTCATAGGCATCGTCTTGGACCCACAGGTGGAACGTGGCAGTACTGGCGTCCGAACTCTTTCAGGTCTTTACTCTGTGGACTCCCAAGTCTTCGATCTGGTTAGTTCTTATTAGTGCCTTTAAAGATTTTGTGGTTTTCATTGTAGAAGTCTTCCAATTTATTTGCTAAGTTTCTTAGTAAGATTTTAATCTTTCCGATGCTATTGTAACCGGAATTTTTGAGATAGAGTTTCTCTGTGTAACAGAGCCCTGGCTGTCCTTTGTAGACATGGCTCACAGAAATCTCCTTGTCTCTGCCTCCTGAGTGATAGGATTAAAGTCGCACCACCATGCCTGGCTCCCTGGCTTTATTTCATTCATTCATTCATTTGTTTTAAAGAAGACAGTGTCTTATGTAGTCCAGGATGCCCTCAGATTGATTTTGTAACTAAGAACGACCGTGAACACCTGATTCTCCTGTCTCTGTGTCCTAAATATTACGACTATAGATGTGGCTGGGCGGTTGTGGCAGGCAGATCTCTGTGAGTTCAAGGACAGCCTGGTCTACAGAGTGAGTTCCAGGACAGGCTCCAGAGCTACACAGAGAAACCCCGTCTCAAAAAAAAAAATCAAAAAAGAAAAGAAAAGGATGTGACACTACATCCAATTAATTTTGTTTTCAAGTTATCCATTGTGTAAACTGCTTATTTATTTATTTAAAAGGGTCTCCTGGAGCTCTAGCGAGCCGCAGTCTGACTGTCGAATGAAAGACGACCTTTAATTCTTGGCCTCTCCCTCCCAAGTGCTGAGATGACAGGTGAGTTCTGTTGGGCCTTTTGAAGAAGGCAAATGTTTTCTCCACAGCGCAGGATGATAGCGAGGGCTGTAGGTGTGTTGCTATGGCAGCCTGGGTGCTGTTGCTGGGGTTCTGCGTGTAACTTATCTGAAGTCACAGATGGAGCGTTAGATTCTGTGACATGAAGGGAACGTGGCTGACTAATTGTTCCCACGCTCCTGTCACTTCAGGTGGCTCCCTGGGCCGGGAAAGTTTGAGCAGAAGTATGTGCTGTGTCTAGAGAATCCTTGTTTCTTCGAGATGCCTCTCCTCCTGGGGGGCAAGGGTTGTGGTGATTTTTCTTTTCTCCTATTATTTTCTTTCTGACTTTTTTTTTTTCCTGAAATAGGGTCTTATGTAGCCTAGATCTCAAACTCAGTATGTAGAGTTGACATACATGTGCGGGCCACCATACCTGGCTACTGTTGTGTTTTGTGTTTCTCAGCCTTTTGCATGTACTGTCTGGAGGTATGTTTAGTCACGGACTTTGCTCATGTCAAAACTGACACCCAACTCTTCTCTTTTATGTAAAAGTTAGGTCAGAATTGGCATTTCTATGAACATGTGACCTAGAGAGATGCTGAGAATGACAGGCACAGCAAAGTGTAAGGCCAGAGGAGGCTGAAGACGGAGTCCTAGGGCAAACCCAAGGACCAGTGAGATGGCAAAACTCTGAAGTCTGGACCGTCTGAGGTAAATGTCTGTTTCCCTTACTGAGACCACCCCTTGAATCCATCACTTGTGGTGAACTTGCTATTCAAGGTCCGTGAGTGAGTCTGTCTCTGCTGTAACAGGAGGGTGTAGGTGGGGAGGGTGAGTGGATGGGTGGATGGGTACTGATGCTGCCTCTGAGGGAGAATGTGAGCAAGCGTCGGGTAATGAGCTAGCTGTTCAGCGAGCAGTGCTGGTAAATGCGCACTGGAACAGTGAGTCACCAGCTGCCTGTCTGCCAGGCCTGCGCGCAGTGTGAGAACTCGGGGATCCTGAGGCGGAGCAGGACTCAGAATGGAAGGGAACTAATCAAGAGCCCAGGAGGACAAGGTAGAGAGTAGACAGACGGGAGAGGATATCACCTTTCCTAGAGTTCAGAGTAGTAAAATGGGAATGTCAGGATCGGTAGTGTGGGTCGGCAGTGTGGAGACCCCAGGTTTGGCAGTGTGGAGACCCCAGGGTCGGCAGTGTGGCGGCCCCAGGAGACCTGGACTAGGCAGTTTGGAGACTGAAAAGCCACGGGTACATATCCATGCTAAAGAATGTGACAGCCTGGCAAGGGGCTAGAAGAAGAGGTAGGATGTGTGAGTGTGTTGATCTCTTTTTTATAATTTATTTATTTTTTGTGCATTGGTGTGAGGGTGTCAGATCCCCTGGAACTGTGAGCTGCATTGTGGGTGCTGGGAATTGAACCCAGGTCTTCTGGAAGAGTGGTCAGTGCTCTTAACTGCTGAGCATCTCTCCAGCTCCTCATTATTTTAAGACAAGGTCTCTCTGTGTAGTCTAGTGACATAGGACTTACTGAAGGCGTAAGTCACAAACAATCCCACACCAGTTTGGAATTATGATTAATGGAATGGTTATTTATTCAAAGGGGAAAAAACTTACAGATTACCGTCCCAGACAACAGCCCTCTGCATGATCAGGAAAGGAGTCGCGGAGCCGGAAGAGAGAGAGAGAATGGAGGACAGCCGCTGCTTTTTTTAAAGAGAGAGAGAGAGACCACGCCCCAATGGACTGGTATCTCAGCAGCTATTGGCTGAAGGAGCGGAAGGAGCTCCCGCAGCAACTTACTGTACAGACACAACCAGCCTCACGTTCTTTATCTTCCTGCCTCCACCTCCCAAGCATTGATTCATACGACCATGCCCAGTTGTTTGTGTATTTTTGTATTAGAGGTTACAGAAAAATGGTCTGTGAATAATTACTGACATTGTAGATAAATATTAGCTTATTAATCAATTTAAAAGTCCAGTATTCCTTATGCCTTTTAAGTTCAAATTACACATCTTGCTATTATGAAGCTCTTCGCATGTGTGTGCTGGGGATTGAGGTTGCTTAGTAACTTACCTACCCACTGAGCCATCTCTCCAGACCCATCATCCTTTCCTTTTTAGAAGCAGGGTCTCACCAGGTAGTCCTGATGGGCCCCGTAACTTGTCACTGTTCTTAGCTCCCATTTGTCCTTTTTAAAATTAAATTTTTATTAGCTCAACTTGAACAGTCTAAACTCCATTACAAATAAATATAGCCCATTGGATCCTCTTAAATATTTTAAAGTGCTTATCTAAATTTAACACCAAATATATTTGGTTTTCTTTTTAAGCATTTAGATGCATGATGGGGCAGATATCTTTTTAGAAGAGTCTTGCAACTTAGCCAAGGTTAGCCTCAATACTGTGTAGCCTAGGATATCTCGAACTCTTGATCTTCCTATCTCAGCCTCCTCCATGCTGGGATTGTAAGTGTATATTACCACTAATCCAGACAACCAACTCCAATGAGAAAAAAAAATCCCTAACCACTTAAATGCTTCTTGTTAGTCTAACATGTTTACATTTAGCAATCATAATTCCTTGAAATATTATAATTATTTACAGTCAGCATGTAAACATTTCCAACTTAGAATCACAGTCCTAGTCAGCGTTTCTATTGCTGTGATGAACACCATGAAGGAAAGCTGGCTGGGGAGGAAAGGGTTTATTTGGCTTACACTTCCACACTGTAGTCCATCACTGAAGGAAGCCAGGATGGGAACTCAAACGGCAGGAACCAGGAGGCAGGAGCTGTTGCATGGGTCATGGAGGGGAGCTGCTTACTGGCGTGCGTATCATGACTTACTCAGCTTGCTTTCTTATAGAACCCAGGACTCCCAGCTCAGGGGTGGCACCACCCACAGTGGGCTGGGCTCTCCCACATCAATTACTAATTAAGAAAATGCCCTCCAGATGGATCTTACGGAGGCATTTTCTCAACGGAGGATCCTTCCTTTCAGCTGACTCTAGTTTGTGTCAAGGTGACATAAAACTAGACATCACCATCACTAATATTGAAATGATGACATCTTTATATTACACGTTTTCAAAGCACAACGAGGCAGATCTATAGCCCTCCAGGTGAAATCCTTTGTAAAACCTTTGCAGAAACTTTAGCGGTCGTTCTTGTGAAGAAGAATCGCTGTCTAGCGTGAGTCTCCTTTGCTTTGCTTCTGACGCTCATTTTAGTGCTTAGATCTTACATAACCCTGAGAGGGGCCGGGAAGGCTGGAACCTCTGCCTGTCTCTGTGGGGAGCCTGAAGACCGCCGTAGGGGGTCGCTGTTAGGTTTCTTCTCAGGGGAGGAGAAACGCTGAGGGTGAAGTGGAGGCAGACAATCAAGAAGCAGCAGTGACCCCTGCCTCACCACTTCCAACTCTGATAAGGGAAGTTGTCCACAGAAGGTCCCAGCCCTCTTTGCTGGGTAACCAAGCTTCGTCCAGGAGCTAGAGAGGGAAGAAGATCCGATTGGGCCTGGGAGGGACAGAAGTCTGGCAGCCACTGTGTTTCTGCAGCCAAGGGTCAGCCAGTCGTGGGTGCCGAGGTGAGCGAGCGCAGCAACGCCTGCGCCGCAGACTCGCAGAGCCCTGTGGCCACCGATTCTGTCCTGCATCTGCCTCTCAGGGCTTCTACACATTTCTCGTGCGGCCAGTCATAACCTGTAAGAGAAGGAATTTTCAGAAAATGTGATCTTATCTTCACTGAGGTGGTATGAAGCTAAGGAGAGGGCTCCAAATCTTCCTAATGTTAAAGGATCCATGCCCACTAACAGAGCCCTTTCTCTGGGGCATCTGCAGTGACCACCTCAGGAAGCCTGCGTGCTCTCCTTGGCAGAGCTGCCACGCCTCCATCCCAGACTTGGGCTCTGTGCACCTAAGTGAGCATCTTAGTTAGGGTTTCCGTTGCTGTGATCAAACACCACAGCCAAAATCAGCTTGTGGAGGAAACGGTTTATCTCATCTTACAGCTTATGAATCTGTCACTGAGGGAAGTCAAGGCAGGCACTCAAAGCAGGAACCAGGAGACAGGAACTGAAGCAGAGACCATGGTTACTGACCAGCTCTTCATGGATTCCTCATCCTGTTTTCTTACACAATGTGGGATGGCTCCCAGGGGGTCGGTCCTTCCACATCAGTCATTAATTAAGACTTGCCTGCAGACCAATCTTATGGAGACTTATTTATTTATTTATTTTTCAGGTAAGATTCCCTCTTCCCATATATGCCTGGGCTTGTGACATTTTAGCAAAAAGCAACCAACACAGTGAGTCTTGCAAATTTAGTACTAGAGTTCCTTAAAGCTTTAAACTGAGCTCAACATCGGACAACTCTGGTGTTGTTGAAGTCCCCACTCTCGATGAGCTCAGGTCTGTGATGCCTCCCGGGTGCCTGCAGACCTTTGAAAGAGCGCTCTCAATGCTGGAATTATGCTAGTGACCCCAAGCACTAGACAGAACTTTCCAGGCTATGAAGACTCTGTAAACTGCATTCACCCAGAATCGGAGCTTCCACACTTGGGGTGGAGATGCCCCCCAGACAGGAGGACGGTCAGTGGTGGCAAATTCCGTTCAAGAGGAGCAGATGAGGTGAGGCCCCTAAAGGACGGTCACAGGGGCCTTGAGGGCGGGTTTCACAACCTGGAGCTTCACGTTCTGCCTGGCTCTCCGAGGAGCCCTGGTTTACCCCACGCCTCACTTCCAAATAATTTGAATTGAAGCCAGGGGGCCATGTCTCTATTGTCTGGGCTTTGGGTGCCCTCTGGTGGTGGAATATTGTTCTTGGGTTTTCACCGTGTCTGGTGCCCTCAGGTGAAGGCGCCTCTCTGCCTTCGAGGTCACTGCTATTAAAGGGGAAGGGGCAACGGTAGAGAGTGTAGTTAGCCTGTTTGCAGCTCTGGTCCAATCCCTAGAATCAAACTGGCAGAGACGCTGGGAGCCCAGTGTCCTCTCAGGGCTTAGCTTTGTCTGCAGAACAGACTAATCGAAGTCTGAGGGCTACAGGGACATCCCCAACACGGGGGCATCCCCAACAGATAAGGAGGGCCACACATTGGTGCGGAGTGATTGGTCTCAAAGACATCTGTCTGTGGCTGTCTGTAATACACCCAGAAGAGCTCACCAGGGCCTTATTTGATCTTCTCGCATTTTCTCACCTAGACTCTAGGCCAGAGGTTCTTAGGGTAGTTTTCTCTGGGTGGTAGGGCAGAGGTGGGTATCAGACGTCCCTTTGGGCAGCTTAAGACAGGTGTTAAAAACTGACTTAATTGGAATACTGCAACTAGGATTTGGGGGAGCTAGTGGTCTCTGGGGGACCAGAACCCACAGGGGTTTACATCTCCCCGTTCTAGGTCTCTGCTCTTGTCAGTTTCTCAGGGGGTGATGCTCACGGATAGATCTGCTACCCTCTGAGGAGGTGAACAAGACACGTTTCAGCACTGGTTCGCTAGAGAAGGAGGAAGGACCCAGGTGAATTTCGTCTCATGAGATAAATGGTATCAAACAGAGGGCTGTAAAGAGGACCCGGTATTGGGAAAGAGAAGTTTCTTTTACGAAAATGCCTGAGAAAAACAAAGACAAGCGCTATGTAATCCTAAGCCAGAGATTGTCTCCATGTTGCTGGGTTTGGGGGACTCTGACTGAGACGAAAGACAGGCCACACTCTGAAAGGATCTCCTGAGGCCTTGGCTCTTAAACTCCATTTTGGACGGATCTCAGGTGGTTTGAAATGTCTGCGACAGTTTAGAGAGGCAAAGCAAAGCATCTAAGATGCTCTTACTACCAGGCTGACGTCCATCTAGAAGAAAGCAAACCACAGTTGATCTGGGTCCCTTGAACCCACTTTGGAAGGGATTTCCTTTGGTCAGGTACTCTTCACGTAAATGTTGGAAAAGGAGTGTTAGAGTTGGGAGCCTTTACTCTGTCTCCTCTATTTTCAGGAAAGCAACACAAGGGCCAGAGAGCTAAACTGCCTTCAGTCAGTCAGCCAGTCAGTCCTTTATTCAAGTTCAGTTAGTACTTCCTGTGTGCGAGGAACTAGGCTTGGTATGTGAAATCGAAGAAGGAGGAGAAAAACGAAGAGGAGGAGGAGGTGGAGGCGGACCACTGTGAATGAGGTAGACGTAGTGGCATTTCATTTGTATTTTAATAAATAAGGCTTGCCTGGGGATCAGAAAGTGAAACGGCCACACTGGTCAGCCTTACAGACCAGGCAGCGGTGACACACACCTTTAATCCCAGCCCTAGAGAGGAATAATAAAACAGGAGGAGACAGGTTTCAGTCTCAATCTAATTCTGAGATTCCTGGAGCAGGATCACCATTTTTAGACTGAGATAG